TGCACCGCTCCGTGCACCGGCGGCGCGTGATTGGCGAGATATGCCGCAAGGAACTAAATGGTGACACAGGGCTCCAGTCGGCTCAGCATGGACTCGATCCAGGTCCCATTATGGTATGTTATCGACGTGTTATGTATTCGGGTTAATGTGATAGGTAGTGCAGGTTTGGTACCGCATGTCATTACTATATATGTATATATAATAATTCAGGTCTGTTACCACATGCCATTTCTATATATGTGTATCTAATAATACAGATCTTGTGCGGGTGTGCAGGGCGATGCACGGCCTCCTAATAGCCCACGGGCGAGAACCGCAAGACACTCTTGGTGGCCAACGGGCACGGCTGGATCACCACACACCCGAGCATAGTGCCGATATGGTATGGCAACTTAACTAGTGCAGTTTGTTTATTCCAGTGTCTATTATTTATTTTTATTGCTTGCGGGTGGTGGAGGTCATGGGAATAGTGTAAAAAACAGAATACTAGTTACTCAAAATAATCAAGATACTCTAATTGCCAAAAAAAAAAAAAAAAACAATAACTGAAGGTAATCGAGATGCTAGGTAGTGAGGTAGCAACTTTAACTAGTGCATTTTTTGTGTTATTCCAGTGTATTTAAAAAAAAAAAAAGATTATTAGCGGTGTTGTGCTGTGATTTATCTATTATTAAGTTTTTTCTAGCTAGTTATATATTTAGGTTGTGTTTAAACAGGTATCTACAGTTTCTGTTCATGGCATTATTATATATGTATGTCTGACTCAGGACCTGCAGGGGGATGCACCGCCTAATAATAGTCCACGAGGAGAACCGCAAGTCGCTCGGGTTGGCCACACGCCACGGCCAGTTCACCACGGGGCCGGGCCTAGTGCTATTACGGTAAAGCAGTGTATTTGTGCATTGTAATACTGTTTCGTACTGCCTAAATTATAGGTTTATTTAATTTGATTGTGGTGTGTATATCTAGTTAGATATGTAGCTGGTGGCTAAGTAGTTTATATACAGTTTCTGCGCATGGAACTATTATATATGTATGTCTAATTCAGGACATGCAGGAGGATGCACCGCCTAATAATAATGCACGGAGAGAACCGCAGGACACTCGGATTGGCCAAGGGCCACGACCGGTTACGGTATGGCAGCTCATAGAAAATGTGTGCACAAACCACGCAGAATAGCCTGTTTGTGCATTGTAATACTGGTTCATACTGTAATAGCCCTAATTTCTTATTAAGTATGCACATCTGTTATGTGCCCGGTCAGATTTGAGTGCCCGGGCAGATTATTTTACCGTATCCCTGTGCTTATTATACAGGAGGTTGTTTAAATTTTAGTTTTATTTAATTTTATGTGTACAGGAGTTGTGTGGTTCATTTTTTTTTTTCCTTTGGATCATTTATAGGGGGATGCACGGCAAGTACCACAAGCTACTCGGGTTGAACAACGCCCACGCGTTCCTAGACCCATTACAGTATGCCAAAATAAACTGGTGCACTAGGTTATACAATGTGCACGAGTGTCCGTAACAAAATTGATTTAACTGCAGGTTGATGCACTGGTACATGCGGCGGCGGCACGTGCTAGGAACCCTACTGCACGAGTAGGAGACGGGGCTACACAAACAGTGCACAACGCCACCACTACAAGTTCTACCGGGGTATGCATATTGTTTCCTTACTATTGCACCGGTTGACGTTGCTATATTGTTTCTTTTCTAACCAACCGCTTGCCTGTAGGGGTTCCACCAAGAATTCGCAGCCATGACTAGGGACCTGCTAGCGATAGCCACACGGGTTGCAGAAACAATAAGGAAAAATCAAACACTAGCTTTCGAGGACCGAAATTTCCCGAGGATTGCCAACGTGGGTAATCTGTTATTAAGCTGGGCACGTAAAGGGACACCACAAACCGGCCCACAGCCACCTCAACCACGAACCGGCCCACAGCCACCCCAACCAAAAACCGGCCCACAGCCACCTCAACCACAAACTGTGACGACTGGCCATCTAGACGACAACCTTTGGCAAGACTCGCAATTCATAAGGGAGCTAGACCGGGTGGAGGAGGATGCAAGACGAGCGATAATACCAAGGCAGGCACAACAGGTTGCAACGCAGGACACAGGGGACTTTGAGGCACCAACATTTAGTCTAGGGTTGACTCAGGAGTTCGCAACCACGAGGGCAGACGGCAACACGCTAGGGCCGTCAACTGTACACACGCCAACTCAGCAGGTGAGGGGTATTAATAGGTACAGCCATGTGAATTACGCGCGATTTGCATGGTATTTTCTAACTTCTAGGTGCAGGTATCCATGCAAGCGCAACCGGGAGGGGGTCAACAGCACAGCCCGTATCCCCAGGGGTGAGAGCAGGCCCGGATCGTCAGCCAAGGACCACCGTTGGGGCGGCAGACCAGCATTTTGGCATGTTTTTCAGCACCAGCAATGGGTACCCTAACATACCGTTACCACCAGTGTATGTCGTTTGGATGTGGCTGTTCAACTCCCCACACGGTCATCGGTAAGTTGCATGGATGTCACGTGCGAATATATACAATCCTGCGTTGGCTCCGTCATTTTGTCCTTAAAAAAAAGTAAAAATACAGGAATGAAGTTCTATTCCGCCATGCCACGCGCACAGTCAGATGGTATCAATTTTTAACATTAAAGGCAAGGACGGATGTTGGGAAACCAGTGGTAGATGCATGGTGCTCGGTGCTCAATGCAAGGGAGCAACCGGGGGGTCGGGACATGCCTTCTCGATTGTTTGTGTCAGCGTCGGCGACGGTAGTGTGGATCATGCAATTTAATTTACATTCTTCGCAAAACAGTCAACACATAATGTTACACTATATACAATTAACAAGAGTATATATTCTTTGTAGTGCACCCATTCAGCACCGCACTGTGCACAAACAAACACAATTAGCATCTTGGGGTTTATATATATCTACTAACTAGTATTGGTGCAGATTGGGATGGTGGTGAACATTGCAGCCAGGCGGGATCAAAGGGTAATGTGGTTTCAACGGCGTCTTGATGCTGAATTCCAAACAACTCACCATGTGGGGACAGCCACATTGGACATGGTAAGACGCCGGTCGTGTTCCAAATAGGCGATCCAATCGGCTACGCATAGCGGACATCGTAGGCTAACCACTATTATTTGGGTTTTGCAGTATTTCTTCCCCGTATTCCACGAGGCACGATTCTACGTGATGTGCGTAAGTTTTAAGCATAATGGGTTTCTCATCATAGACAGCTCACCGACGACTAGCGTGGGGACAGAGATGTACGGCGCAGCTCCAAATGAGTTGGTAAACATCATGCACCCTCAACACTTAATACTATTGGTTAAGTATACTCGCACACCTGCTGAACTAATCTTTTGTTTCCAGAGGGACCTCCTCGCCGCATACCTAGATAACAACCAGCACACTGTGCGGGCGCTGCGGTTGAGGAACATGCAGCCCGAGAGGATGAGGTTGGCGTGGTCAGACAACCCTACCAACGGTGACTCAGGAGTATACACAATGAGACATATGGAAGATTTTGTTGGTCAAGATCCCAGATATTGGCATTGTGGGTTGGGGACGGGGGATGCCGCAGTGATTGAAAATATGCGGACGAGGTTTCTGCATAACATCTTACTATGTACAGTCAATGCCAACATCGATGATATCCGCACACGGGCAGTGGAGTATGACCGCCATAGGGCCGAACAACTAATGGGAGGAGCACCACAATGAAAAACTCGGGTATGAGGTAGTGGCTGCTTAGATCTATTTAGGTTAGTGCACAGCCTGAGCAAAGTATTGGCTGTTTAATTTTGTTTAGTTTGGTGCGCAGCACTAGTCTTCATATGGGGTATATATACTTTTCCAGGATGGAATAAAAATTTCTTCAATGTTATCTCTAGAAAATGCCGGCACAAATGCATGAAAGGGTTCGTAATTGTATTTAATTTTACACTACTAATTTGGTAAAGTACAACTTCAGTGAAATAAATACACCACTAATTTCATGCGACACATGAAATAAATTCACCACTTAATTTAACTTACTATCACCATAGACCATGAAAAGCACCAGGGGTATGAGGTTGAAATAAATGCATTATGAGAGGGAAAGGTAGGTAGCTTAGATAGTTAATTTAACACGAAATAAAAGAAACAAAAGACAGAACCATTCTAATTTGCTAATGATGATGGTATTTAAATTACATGCATGCAATACAGTGCACTTTTACTCCAATCCCATTATCCCATCTCCACCCCAATACCCCTTTCGGCATTTATATAATGCATGCATTGCATGCTTCAAATAATACACATTAAATTTACCACTGCAACAATATATGCATGCATAAATGCTTTAATCTTTTGTTTTTGTTTGGGTAGGGGTATATGCTTGAATTTGCTTTAAAATATTTACTCTATAACAAAGGTACACAAGCATTTGGAAACTTTTTATCGGTATTACAAGCTTACACCACAAGAGAATCCCTAGGACAACATATATTTTCCCCACATTTGAACACCTTGAATCCCTAGGACAAATTAACAGCAAACAGAATGATAACATGAGTATTTAGATCCAAGAACCCCACTTACCAGTCATAATGCGGGCAGCCAAACACCCACACCCACAAAAAAAAAAAAAAATTAATAGTTTTTAGAAGGTTAACCAATCACCATTCAGGTACCACAGAAAGCAGACCCCACACACACTCCAAACACTCCAAAGTCATTATTAATAACCAGATACACATGCATCTGCACTCCAAAGTCATTATTAATAATCGGATACAAAGGATATAAACGTAGAGTTAATAAAATTAGCTAAAATCGCCATAGGAATGAATTAATAAAATGGACAAACACTCCAAAGTCATTATTAATAACCAAATACAAAGGATAGAAACCTAGAATTAATAAAATTAGCCAAAATCCCAATGTATCTAATCATAGCCAGTAATGTCTGTTTGGGCGCACTAATCACTTCAACGGACAGCTGCGGGCATTATGATGTGCATACTCGCCGCACACCCCGCACTTTCTGCTAGCCTTGCCACTCCTCTCAATAGCTAACTCGCGTTGGCTTTTAATTCGCTTGCCGGTCCCTTTGTTTTTTGCTTGAGCTGGCGGTTTGATAATTATGGACGTCGGCGGCTCCACACCGCACAAAGCTGCAATGGCAACACCGTTTCCTTTTGGGGGGTCAACGTCCATACCATCGCCCAGAAACTCGTCTCTTAATTCTTTTATTACCTGTAGCATTCGCGTTTGGCGCACTTTATTGCTTCCAACTATCACGGCACAATTATGTATCTCAGTCCACAACTGACTAGGCACAGTTTCTAAAGGAGGGCAGTCAGAACATCGAGCACACCAGCTAGCTAGTCCTTCTTGCTTACACCATCGTGCTGCGATGTACGGCGATGGCAAGCTCACCATTTCGGCATCTTTGAACACAAGAAACATATGCCGGCAAACAAACCCCAATCTTTCAAACAACTTGCAGCTACATGTCGCAATAGTCAAAGACGGGGTATATTCAACAGTATGGACAACGTTGTACTCCCCTCTAATGTCGTAACGGATGCACTCACCATATGCATGGATCCCCACAACACTGCAATAAAAACATGCAGCTTCGATCTCTACCTGGAGCTCATAAAACACTGTTAAGGTAAATACCTGCACCATGTGTCGCTCCAATGCTAAAGGAGTTTTGAAATCAGGCAAGGACCCTTCACTCTCAGCATTTAATTTACTTTGTCTGTGCCGTTGAGTTTCTAGGACGCTCTCAAATTGCACGTAGAACTCGACCAGACTACAATGTGGGCGTGTGTTTTTACCGTACGCACTGTTCTCCGCTTCTGAACGCGAGGTGGTACGTAGAACACCGCTCATGGGTAAATCTAAAAAATATGAAGGAATCCAAAACCTCCGGTCTGTGTATAATTTAGTAAACCATCGGTGCCCCGTTAAGTTGTACTTCTCCATTAATGACTGCCATTGCGTTTCAAAATCATTAATGCTAATGGTCTCATTCCACACAATGTTGTTAAGCTGGTTACGGAAATTCTAATCTTTTGATAGTTCAGCCCCTGACTTCTCACTCACTTTGGTCATGATATGTCACATGCAGTAACGATGACGGCACTCTGGCAGTACTCGTGCAATAGCACTCTTCATAGCCGGATCTTCATCAGTTACGACGCACAAGGGGCTCTTTCCCATTGCTGTTTTAAATCTCTCCAGGACCCACATGTATGAGTCAGTGTCTTCTCGAGTTACCAACCCACCAGCAAACGTAATGCACCGTTTGTGATGGTCTACTCCGGTAAAAGGTATGAACACCAAACTGTACCTGCAATACAACGAGTTCACACGTTAGCATGGTGGCAACAAATTTAGTGATTCGGACGCCGCCCAATTCCCACTAACATGTCACCAACGTGCACTTAACATGAACAATACAAAAATTCACAAAAACAATATTAAGTGACTACTACATTTCAGTATGATTAGCATGCACAGAATGAACGGTGTAACGTTGACATACCTATTCGTACCATACGTTGCATCAAAAGAAATCACATCACCGAAACTCAAAAAATTTTGACGCCCGGTGTGGTCAGCCCAAAAAAGACGCGCAACATGGTTTCCTTCATCAAGATAGTAATCAAAGAAAAAGTTCTCACAGACGTCATGTTTTTGGTTAAACATTGCAATGATCATCTCTCCGTCCTTATCGGCAACGTATGACTGGAGGTCCCGTTTGAAATTATGGAACTCCGTTTCTGTTGCACCAACGTTGGCGAACGACCCCACTGATTCCTTGTATAATCGGAAGCCTTTAGACCCACCCACGTTAACTTTAATACAATTCGTAAGGAACGCTTGCTGGGCCACGTCCAGTTTTCTGTTGATTCGCATAAACAGTTTCGAAGGCTCGGAGCACATGCGGTGGGTGTGTTCGGGAACAAAAATACTGACAATGAAGCCCGCACCTTTGTCTTTTGTGATGCAAATTCGAGCGTTGCAATTAACCCTGTTAGATACTCGTCTCCTACGTTGAGTGCTCGGACCACCACTGCCACCCTCTACTGGTTTTGGGGTGCTTCTACCGCCACCTTTTACGCCTTCTCGGTTGCATAACAAATAACGTGTTGTAACCTTGCCATCACGGCCTCGCTTTAGTGTGCCTTGCCTCACAGAGAAGCCACATGTTCTCGCATAGGTCATATAGAAATGCACCCCTTCTGCTATTGTGTTGAAACGGTAACCGACAGCTGGGGTAATTGCACTATCCACGGTAGGCCACCAATATTTGACTGGTATACTGATGTACCCACCCGTGCCCACACTCTCTTGGCTCCAGTCAGCTGCGGGGGGGAAAAAAAAAGAATTATCAACACCCGAATATGCATACCAAAAATGTTAGTTTGAGCTATTATATTATAATAACTGTACCCAACCAGCAACAGAGTCAACATGTATCCCCAAAAAATAGACAAATTGTAGCAATACGCAGCCTGCCAAAAGGTTCAGAACATCCATTGCATGCTACCCGCCACAGTTTTCATTAAATGCATACTTCCCCATGACTTAATTAAGTAAAATCACAAATTTAAAGGATAATAGTTATAGTAAATTCATACACGATCTGTACAAGAACCAATTGCTTCTTAACCGTAAAATACTTGCGCAAATAGCTATATCAAATAAGAAATGTCTTGATATGATTTCAAACGAGATCGTAGGCTCACAGAAGCCATGCACCATATGGAGAAACATACCAAGTATGGTGGACTCCGGGAAGGTAGAGTAGAAATTACGATGATCAAATATGATAAAATAGTAAAACACGTTCAATCCAAAAAGATTTTTGATTCATTTTTTCCTTATGACACGATAATCAAATATAGATTCACGGATTTTTCGAGCAAAACACCAATCCGCATTTGAGTTCGGATTGGAATTATGATTCAAGTGAAGTAAGCCTATTTCTTTTTTTTGAAAACCCAAGCATACAACAGGATGCCACTATTGCTTCATAGAAAATGATGCCACTAATCTAAATTAAATCAAATAATTGATATGGATTACTATATATTCCAGTGGTGAGAAAATACCCTATCATGCTAATAATGTCCTTAATGTAAGTTATGGATTACTAGCTTCAGTAAGTTAAAAAAGTGTTCTAAAATCTTAGCCACCAAACAAGTAAAAGTAGACAATTTACTCTATAATCTCAAAACAACAGATTAGATAAACTTTATCAAACACTACCAACATGTATAACAACAATTACCGATCCTGAACAGAAAAATATGTCAATGTGATGTATACATGATGTTCCAAGTATTTAAATAGTCAGTTCATATACTATCATTCTAAGTGTTTCAGCAATCCATTGGTAATATTGCTGGCATAGCTACATGAGGCCCGATAGACATTCTGTAAAACGGATATGAACATTCAGTAAAAAGACAGCTGAACATTCCAATACTGAGCGTTTAACTTAAATGTGATGAAATTTTAAGTTCATAGATAATCAATATCCGATCCAACACACTGGGCTAGGGGAGCTTGGCTCATAGTACAATTCGCATAAACAAGCATTCCAAAAAAAAAAATGGAAAATTCAGAATTTCTTTCCACAACAAAGCTTTAAAAATTAAATTTCAATTCGTTCTCAACAGTAGAGGTAGAAGAAGTTTTTCCGAACTATTTGAACTATTATTGGTGCACCGGAAAAGGTTATTGGTTGGCATGGTACTCTGTGAACATGGGGGACGTACCTGGTGGATTACCCGGAGGGAGTTGCAGCGGCGGCATGCCGTAGTCGCCGGTAGTCTCTGGTGCGGTGCTTTCCATGGTTCCACGCGCAAATCTAACCACTGCAAAAGTGAAAAGTCTCTAAACATAGCATTTGAAAAAATGTAAGCTTAATTAACTTCATTAAATTCTGACTGGCTTTTGGATGTCAAGATCAGAAGAAGAGTTCTGGCTCGTCGGTGGTTTGCAAGCGCATAGGGTATTGGTGCACCGGAAAAGGTTGTTGCTTGTCATCATGCTGCTCTGTGAACATGGGGGACGTACCTGGTGGATTGCCCGGAGGGGGTTGCAGCGGCGGCATGCCGTAGTCGCCGGTAGTCTGTGGTGCGGTGCTTTCCATGGTTCCACGCGCAAATCTCTCCAGGGTATGTGCTACGGAAAAACAAAAAAAAAAAACACAAATGATGAACGACCGCATAGTTTGCAGGAAACACGCACAGTTTATTAAAATTAGTTTATCGCAAACTCTGAAATGCACCCCTACATGGCAGTGCACGGGAACTACAATGCACCAAATCTCCAACCGTCAGATCGCACAAATCAGTGCACCACAACAGTCCACTAGTTCACATTAAAACAAGGGTGTGCACCAGAAAAGAACCCTATATATATATATATATATATATATATATATATATATATATATATATATATATATATATATATATATATATATATATATATATATATATATATATATATATAATGTATCAACTTATTCACCAGCACCATCAATTTAAACTCCTGTAAGGGTGTGCTTGGAAAGCAAGAAAATGACTTCTGCATTTTTATATTTTTTTTTTTTGGAAAATGAGTCATTTTCTTGAAAATATTTTCCTTTCCAGTGTTTGGTTACATTCCAAAAAACTATCTTGGTGTGTTTGGTTCATTTTATGAAAAATGAGCACAATTATTTTAAATATTTAAAATATACAATGATGGTGGTGGTGGTGGGTGAGCGACGGCGGGTGATTGTCTGCTCCACTGCTGCAAACGGAAAATGACTTCCCCCAAAATAAGGGGAAGTCATTTTGTGAAAAATTCCCTCTATTTTTTATTGACCACACCACTAATTTCCATTGACTTCCATTTTTCCCCTCTAGTCCCCCTTTAGCCAAACACTGGAAACCCAGAAAATTACTTTCAGAAATCATTTTTCGAGTTTCCAAGCGCATCCTAAATGGAGAATTCTATTTATATTAGTGCAAATCTACATCTTTTTTTCAATGTGGGATAAATGCTTCTTCCAACCTTTCTTAGAGCAATCCACAATAGTCTAAAATTTTTGTGGGTTTTTAGGTGCCACAGAGGAGTGAGAAGAGGGAGGGGGAAAAAAAGGAGAAAAAGAAAAGGCAAAAAAAAAAAAGCAGAATCTGACAATTAAAAAAAAAAAAACAATAGGTCTTTTAGTTAGAGTGGCCGCCAGTTAGCGGTGACACGCCCGCTTGGGGCGTGAAGTGCGTTCCACTTGCACACTTCGGACTTCCTTTTTTCTTTTTGGCTAAATTGTCATCCCGCACCATGAACTATTTCTCATTATTCATGTCGCACCATGATCTTTAATAACTGATATTTAGAGCCATAAACCATAAATTTTTTTTTTTTTGTCTAGAACTTTTTACAGGTTACCGGTAATAATATTGCTGACATGAATTCTTTTACTAGTTTTTTTGGTATTTTTCTTCTTTCGCCCCGTATTATTATTTTTTTTTGTATTTTTCTTTTTTCCTAAACGTATAGGCCTACTCTGCGTTTTTCGCTTCTCGTTTCTCCGATAGACATGGTAAACTTGAAAATTCAATGCAAAGATTGCGAGATATGGAGTAATACAAATATAAATTTGATATATAATGTAATTGGAATAGCTTAGTTGGTTAGAGTGTGTGGTTGTTAACCACAAAGTCGGAGGTTCAAGCCCTCCTTTTAGCGCCTTAATGTAATTTAATATAGTTATTTATGGCAGCATGTTACATAGTTAGCTTATTAGTGAATTTTAGCTTATTTGACCATTATTAGTTGTTTGACTTGGTTAAATAACTAATATAATTGATTGATTAATTAGTTTTCTGTAACAACTTAGCTTATTACTCCAATTTTTGGGTTATGAATGATAGCCCAAACAATTGTGTTCTTGGTTCCCTTTTATACAACCACTGTGGTACGGTGTACTAAGTTGTTTTAGCCACTGGTTATGTGCATGTATGTGTAATTGTTTGTGTATCTCACCGTGTTACTCACATGTCTTAGTGTATGTCTTGTGCATTCATGAAGACATATTCGTGCATTTTTTCTTTATGTGGTCTTCACTATATTAATTCAAACAAGTCTGGAGTGTGCACCCATATATATATATATATATGTGTGTGTGTGTGTGTGTGTGTGTGTGTGTGTGTGTGAGATACAACATGTGCACATCGTCACCCATGAGCAAAGAGGTTTTCCTGACCAATGTGTGCATTTGACATATCTAAGGTGTGCACATCCCTGATGTATGTGTAAATGTGTGCATGTCAGTGATAATGACTCTTAATTGGTTAGGAACAAAAGTATTATAACACCCCTATTTTAAAACTCGAATTAAATGATTAAAAGATCATTATATCATTTTTAATTAAACATCCATTAAAATTGCGCGGAAATGTAAGACATCCAAAAGAAAATAGAAATACTACTGCCACGTTGAAACATCTACCTATATCCAAACGTAAGGCTTAAAATCAAAAGATAAAGTTTAAACAACATCCAATTTTATTCTAAAAAATAAGAATACAATAAAATAAATTCAGGTTAATAACTAATCTATAGAATAACAAATTACAAATTTTGTGGTTCTCTCCCTATAATGAGAAATGACTTGATAACAATATGAAGGAGGAAAGAACATAATAAAAATGTGAATTAAAATAAGGTTTTTATATTAGGAAATTTAAGGGTTGGCAATCTGTCACCCGAGGGATGGAATTAAAAAATTGAAAGTTAAATATTATATTAACAAAAAGTGAAATCTAGGCCAAGTAACATGTGCTAAGATGGCATGTAGTGACTCTTCCACATGAGAAGTCATGAGATCGAGCTTGTAACACCCCAGATTTTCGAAACTTTTAAAGCTTATATAATAAGGGTCAAATCTCATTAAATCCCAAGCAGAGCAGTACTAATCATAAGAATACGGGGTGTTATGCCACATCTGAGAAGAATACGGGGTGTTATGCCACATCTGAGCTAGAGAACTCAGATGCACAGGCTAAACTATCTAATTATCCTTAAACAACATCATTACATCATTATGGCACGCAGGCCGAATATGAAACTATCTATCTAAGCCTCGGGTCCTCTAGCGCGCTCCTGAGCTAATTATCTGTACCTGAAAGCCAAATATATCTGTTCAGCGAATAATGCTGGTAACCCACTCCAACGCGTTGAAATACAGTATATATATATATATATATATATATATATATATATATATATATATATATATATATATATATATATATATATATATATATATATATATATATATATATATATATAGAGAGAGAGAGAGAGAGGAAAAACCATTTTGAAGCAGGAAGATATATCCTAGGAAACTCTAGTTTTAAACCCGGAATAGACTCGACAGATAGGGATAAGCACATTCAACAGTTATAATCAAGCATATAAAGATACTAGCATATATCCTATGGTCACAGATTCGCTTCATTCCATTCATATCATCATTCAATTCGTATCTCATCACACAAGCATACTTTGGTGGCGCCACAGGACCAATCGCATGCCCATACATGAGGGTCAGCGCATATAGCTCTGACACGGCCTCGCAGCACCCTGCCTCGTATCGCAATACGAAGGGGTCGATCGCAACCGACCGATGAACCGCAGCTCATCATAATGTTTGATCCCAACCAAACAGTGGACCGCAGCCCAAGAGTAATCATCTGACCGCAGCCAGGAATATGAACCGCAGCTCATGTAAAACGTTTGATCGCAACCAAACGGTGGACCGCAGCCCAAAAGTGATCATCTGACCGCAGCCAGGAATATGAACCGCAGCTCATGTAAAACGTTTGATCGCAACCAAACGGTGGACCGCAGCCCAAGAGTGTAATTCTGACCGCAGTCAGCTTCTGAACCGCAGCTCAGGAATAACCAATTTGATCGCAACCAAATTGGGGTATCATACACACATAACACATAGCAAGCACATGCAACCCACATTAACATATTGGGAAGGGGAGAAAACGTGTAATGAAATCTATGCATGGTCATCCACATACTAGGAATAATCCTAAGGGGTTCATACTTCTTTCACCTAGGCCAACGGGATACCAATTCTACTAGAATGCGACATATATAAATATATAAGACTCGTTTATCCTACGAATGGTACCCGAAACATCAAACTAGACTTTAGGCACGATAAACGGGGTCCGTTGGGACACCACGAGGGTCGGGGAAACATCAAACGGGGAAGCCGGAGTCCCGAGATGGGACAATTTCCAGCGGGTAGCCGGTGGGTGGTGGACCACCCGCCGGCGGGCAGGTCTCCGGGCAGCGGGTGCCCGGCGCCGGCTGCCCGCTGCCGGCGACGTCTTTCTCGGGCAGAGGGTAGGTGGCGGGTCCCCCTACCCCCACCTACCCCCCACTGATTCTTTATTAAACTAAACGTCTCGGGATCCGTTGTGGGACTCGAAACCATGCTTAGACACTTTTAAACGCAATTGATGACACCACGTAGACAATTAACGGATCGAAAGCAAGAATCATATAGCACATATCCTATCATGACTTCTAAACATAATCGACACCCGAACATGCGAAATCCCACCCAATTATATCAAGAACAACACAATACGAAATTCCCAATTTTAACCTAGGGCTCTAATCATATTCAAATCAATAAAATCATAGTTCATCTTTTAATTACCAAAACATCAAGATTCATCAAGAACATCATATAATCATCAAGAACCTCTTATCATCATCAAGAACATCAAGATCACACATAAAATCATCTCACAATCATCAAGAACTTATCATCAATAACATAAACGATTCGTCAAGACACAAGTATAGAGAGGAGGCCAAAGAAGATAATTATAGCAAGGAAAATAGGTTTTGTTGAGACATGGGTTACCTCTTAGCCTTAATTAATTCCTTGGCTATGAATGGTCTTTCTTTAAGCTTTCTTCTTTCTTGATTTCTCCTAAGGGAATTCTTAGAACTTCTTGTGTGGTGAGAGATTATTGTGGTGTAAGATCTAGGTGCCTCCTATAACCTTATTTATATATTTAAGAGTCCTAATTAGGGTCTAAGTGGTATGGGTTTACTAATCCTATT